GAGTATATGTTCTGTGGTAAGACGGGCTCAGTTGTGAACAAGGAACTGTTGCTATGTGTTATTGTGAGTATATGTTCTGTGGTAAGACGGGCTCAGTTGTGAACAAGGAACTGTTGCTATGTGTTATTGTGAGTATATGCTCTGTGGTAAGACGGGCTCAGTTGTGAACAAGGAACTGTTGCTATGTGTTATTGTGAGTATATGCTCTGTGGTAAGATGGGCTCAGTTGTGAACAAGGAACTGTTGCTATGTGTTATTGTGAGTATATGTTCTGTGGTAAGATGGGCTCAGTTGTGACCAAGAAGCTCTTGCTACATGTTGTTGTGGAGTATATGCTCTGAGGTAAGATGGTTCAGTTGTGAAAGAGGAGCTGTTATGTGTGGTTGTGGAGTACATGCTCTGATAAGATGGGCTGAGTTGGTAACAAGGAACTGCTACTGTGTGTTGTTGTGGAATATATGTTCTGTTAACAAAGAACTCTTACTATGATAAAAAATTTAGGAAAAATTACTTTTATACTCCAAATATTTATAAATGAACTTTTTTTATTTTAACCAATGTTTCACCTTTGCAGCTTCATCAGGGTTACTACATAAAACTGTTTGATATTAGAATAATATAATAATAATAATGTATACATTGTTAGACACACCTTACAGCAGATTCTAAAAATAGAACATTATAAGCAGTTCTATAATTTAACAAATATTCTAATATCATCAGGGTTAGTACATACAACTGTTCTTTTATAAATATCTAGAGTATATAGGATTTGTTTTTCAGTATGCACTACAAATTTTGAAAGAATTGTTACTAGGTATTGTTGTGGAGTATATGCTCTGTGGTAAGATGGGCTCACTTTGAACAAGGAGCTGTTACTAAATGTTATTGTGAAGTACATGTTCTATAATAAGATGGGCTTGATTGTGAACAGGAAGCTGTTGCTATCTGTTATTGTGGAGTTTAGGGTCTAGACAGGTCTGAAAATGTTGATCACTTTGTTAATTCAAGTATTATATGTTAGAAACATGGTGATGTTTGATGTGAAAAGAACTGTAGATTGCTAGTTAATCATTATGTCTTAAAGCTTGTTGCATCATGTTTGAATATAGAAACCTGTTTAAATGTACTGGCTGAATGCCAGAAAGCTCTTGGTGTAGGCAGGGGATTGGCTGCTTAAGTTGGCAAGTTCAGTTTATCCATATCGTTACTATTCATTCATATGTTGGGTTCTAAACAAAAAATAAGTTATTTATATGGGGTTTAGTTATATTTCACTGCTTCATGTACCTTAAGATGTGGTTTTTATGTCATTCCAGAATTAACATTTTGGTGTAGATGTACCAGTTTTAGTTTTGTTAATAAGCTGAAAATTATTCAAGCAGTCCTGTATTTGTGTGGTAGTTCATTGTTCAGTGAATATTTGTGTGGGAGTTCATTGTTCAGTGAATATTTGTGTGGGAGTTCATTGTTCAGTGATTATTTGTGTGGGATTTCATTGTCCAGTGCAGAGGCATCGCTAAGTACTTATAAGATATGGGGTTCAGGCCCATAGGTGTAAGAATTTTCAGCTTTTCAGTATGATATCAATCATGGTTTTCTATTCTGATTTTTCAAGATCCAACTGGGGATTCCCGTGCCCCATGTGGCAGCACCTAGCAAAGCCTCTGGTTTATTGTATACTTGTGTGGGATTTCATTGTTCAATGTATATTTGTTTAAGAGTTCCTTGTTCGATGAATATGGATTGGGTGATAGCACGGACATTTAAGAATTTTGGTTTAGTAACATCATCACCTTTGATTAATTTTGAACTGATACTAGCATTGAATATATGTGTGAGTATTGACTCCAAATGTTTTGGTTTGCTAATAGAAAAACATCTATGACTTCAATATCAATGACATGTGCCAATTACAACACTAATTGTTTATCCATTAAAATCTTTACATCAAAAATAAGAATGGTGGTGTTGATGATGAAACTTCATTAGTATATTATTTTTAAGAAAGTTAATTTTTGTACCTCTTGATATAGAAAAGTGTATACTTTTAGGAATGGTGTGGAATTTTCTAAAATATTCTTGTTCAAGGTTCAAAATGCTAGAAAAATGTATCTTTCTTAAAAACCTATTTCCCCTTCCTACCCCAAAGAAACACACACAAGAAGTAGAATATAACTCTTAGGATTTTGCTTTTATTTCACAAGTGAACACAATTAATACAATAGGAACAACATGTGGGGGGAGGGAATACTTGTCCAATGGGCAAGGTATAATGATTAAACGTGTTTGTCCTGGGTATTGATGATATGAATTCCATGCTCAAGCGTCTATATTTTAGTTATGAATCAACCAAGACCAAATTTTGTTTGCCCAAAATGATATATGGGTAACCTTTTAACATTTGATTATAACCAAGTGGTTGCTTGACCTGCTCTGGGAACAAAAAGACTAGCTTACTGGTTCACCAGTTCTTTCCTGATAGTAAAGTTAATTCCAATAAAATAATAATAATTGGCATTAGAAATATAGTAAGTAAATAATATAATGTT